TAGGACACGTGGCCTTGTTGGAGTCAGTATGCATGTATGTATTTTTGGGGAAAGTGTGTCACTGGGGGTTTCAGAAATTCAAGCCCAGCCCAGTGTCACTGTCTCTTTCTGCTGCCTGCTGATCCAGAGGTAGAACTCTTCTAGTCTACAGCGCTGTGTCTGCCTTGCATGCAACCGTGCTTTCTGCCATGATGATAATGGGTTAAACCTCTGAGCTGTAAGCCCACCCACAATTAAATGTTTTCCTTTATAAGAGTTGAGGTAGTCATGGTGTCTCTTCTCAGCAGTAGAAACCTGAACTGACAGTAGCTTGAAGTTCATTCTCTGACATAGCATTATTCCAATGTAAGATTAATTTGAAAAGCCTCAAATTTTATAAAGGTATCACCATGTTGAAAACCTCCTTCTGCCAAGATTTACAAATAGAGCTAATGGGAAAGTGTGCAATGTTTATGGTCACCAAGCATTTAACCATCAGGGTAATTTCTGTGTGTGTGTGTTGGGGGCGGGGGAATAGGGATGGGGTGGGACTGTGGTCCTTCATGGTTCAGAGAGCATTAGGATGCCTGGGGTTTGATGAGAGCCCAGCCTTTATCGTTTCTACTCTCCACATCCCTCTGCTTGCAAGTCCTGCTGGATGTTTGCCTTGTTGGCTTCTCCCCACTGGTGACTTCCCTCATACCAGGTGCTTTGCAGCCTGGGTCAGACTGTGGCAGCACCTTCACCACAGCCTCGAGCCATCAACCCTCTGTCCGCCATTGCATGGTCATTGCTTTGTCCGTCAGTAACAACCCCCTTTGGGGTTTCTTGGTCATTGAGACACAGATACAGCTAATTGTACAATGAATCGCGGTCTGACTTGTAGTAGAAAATGATCAGGAACAGGAAAGACATCCAATTGTATTAAGCAAATGATGCTACAGCACAGTAATGAAGCGCTGGTTCATGTGCCCTGGGTACTGAGAGCTGTATGTACGCACTGAGGACCGTCTCGGGATGCGGGAACCCAGTGAGGAAGGGGCTGTGGATAATGGCTGGGAAGATAATGCTGGGGAAAGGTAAAATGTTGAATGCAAATGCCTCCCACAGCTTTATAATATCAGCTCTGTTAACACACAGCCCTGCGAAGGTTGACTCAGTGTTTATTTCAATCTGTTTCCCCAAGTGTCTTGAAAGGAAACCCGATACTTACCTTACATGGAGGGGAGAGGCAGAGCAGCTTTAAAGCATCTGCCACATAGACTTCGATGAGCTTCTGAGGGTGATATGTCTGTGTATCAGAATCACTGACCCTTTGGGAGCAACACAGCCACCCCCTTTAAGGCTGACAGCCCGAGGCTGCAGTGTATAGGGGCATTTGTGACCGCAGCTCTTCCGGCAGATTCTCAGGGAAGCCTCCATCTTTCCGTTCCCATCTGTGTCCCTGCAAGGACCTGCTCCTGCTTCCATGAAACACTGACTGAGCAACAAAGGTGATTTGTCATCTGCTCCACGTGCTCTCTGGAGGCCCAGAGCTCAGCTGCAGCTGGCTGTCATCGCTGTCAAGCTGATAGCTGTCCTGTGCATGTGTGTGTGTTTGAGTACTATGTGTGCCCACAGAGAGCTTCGTCCAGTGCTTTCACCTTTGCTCTTACGTGGTGAATGCCCTTGCCGCTCTGATTTAGGACCCTCCCATGACAGATATTCAGTGGATGGAGCATGAACACTGTCCCAGGGCCTTTTGTGACCGAGTTTTATTTCTGACTTAATGAGCTACACTGAATTCAATCATCATGCGTCTCATGAACGCTTGCCATTTATAGATGACTATAAATGTTATGTCCCTTAATATCGTGAGTTCCATGTGTTAATTTCAGCTTTGTGTTTGTGGGTCCCTCAAAGGAGCTGGAATTGGGACTGGGAGAGGAGTGGGGCTGGCCTCACAGTCCACCCGGGGGCACAGAGCAGGCATCAGTGGCAGCCCTGCACAGCAATTGCTGGGAGAGAACCTGGGCAGCAGGGGAGCTGGGCAGCGCAGCTGAACCAAGGTCCAGGAGGAGGCCCCACCCAAGCTGAACTGGGGACTTGGGAGACAGGAATTAGTCCTCCAAGGGCCAAGACAGGAGGACTAGAAGGCTGTGTAGAGCAGGGAATTGTGTAGGGCAGCTGTGATGGAGGAGGACAAGGCCTGGAGGACCCTGCCTTTGAGGAATGGGGGGTCCTGAGGCTGGCCTTGGACAGTGGCCATCAGATCTACCATTTGGTAGCTTCATTCTGACTCCCTGATGCCTGAACTATGGCTCCCATGCACAGAGGGCTGGTTGGGCAGCGGGGATGAGACTCCCAGTTCTCCTGCCAACCCTGGTCCTGCTTGTTGCTTAAAGCACCTCATACATCTGACCGGCAGGCAGGCACACACTGACGGGAAGACAGACAAACATCTCTTGGTGGCCACTTCTTCCCTCTGCACAGAACTAGCCAAGGATAGGCTGAGGGACATTTCCTGAATGTGGGAATAAGAAAATGGAAATGAAATGAGGCAGTAGGAAATGTGTGGACCCGGAGGCTCTGGGGGAATGCATGTGAACGAGGGGAGGGGCACTCTGCTTTCAAAGGCCAGGGGTCTGGGCCTGGCCAGAATGCAGCCAGGAGGAGGGTCATGGGGGAAGTTAGATGTCCTTGATGCTTAGAAACCGGGTTCAGTCAATTCGTCTAGCTTTTTCTTTGGATCATAAATACTGTCTCCTTGCCTGAGGACACAGGCACCTTGCAGGCTGGCTGCTTTTAAACCAAAGGAGGTCACCATTTCATTTCAATTTTTATGTTTGTTTTGGTCTTCTAAGACCAAATTTCACTTTGTAGTCCAGGGTAGCTTTGAAGTCATGGCGATGCTCCGGCCTCAGCCCACCCAGACGTAAGGGACCACCATTACATGGCTGAGCAATATTTGTGGGGAGATCATGGCTCAGTTGTCATTCTTCAGTGGCTGAACATTTGAGTTCTACCATGTTTGGCAGTTATGAATATGTAAGTTACCAGAGTAACCAGATTAGACCTTCCAGAAAGAATCATAAAGGGAACACACCCGGGATATCCACAATCATTGTCACTGTTCATTCACGCATGGCTTAGTCTTCCCCATGGCCAGGGATCCCAGGGGGTGGTGGTCCCTAGACCCCTTGCTGCACAGCCTCAGCCTTCCCTGGGGTCTCCAGGTCTGCCCTCATGCTAAGGACTCTCCCTACAGCTGGTCTCTTCGTCTCTTTCCTGATTCCTCAGACCTCCCTACCAGCTTCCTTGCCTCTCTAGCTCCAGCTGGTCCCTGCTTCCCACGGCCAAGGCCAAAGTCAGGGTGCTGTCCTCACCCTACACCCAGTGTCTCTCCTGCCAGACATGGCCCCAGAGCCAGAGTTCACTCTGTTCAGCTCTGACTGCAGAGTCTCTGCCTTAAACATGTGTAGGGGGCAGGTTGCCACAGAAACACGCATGTATGATGACAAGATACAGTCAGCCTTCAATAGCAGCCCGAGCTGGGTGTGGTGGCTCGTGCCTGGACTTCTAGGACACAGCACATGGGGGCAGGAGGAACAGAAGTTCAAAACCATCCTTAGCTAAGCAAGGAGGTCAGGGCCAACCTGGGTTGTGTGAGCACCTGCCTCAAACAAGTGAATACGGGCCCTAGTGACCAGCCCTGCCACCTTCCCTACCATACCACTCTCCCCACAGCCTAGGATTGAGTCTGTATCTCCAGGTGTCAGGTCACAAGCTGAATGATCACCACATCCTAGACAAGCTACAAGGCTCCCTATTCCTCCTCACCTGGAAAGGACACGTCATAAAAAACATGGCAGCTTGGAGACCATCACCCCTCCATGGTTCGCTCAGCCTGGTCAAGCTTCTAAAGCCTGTACTCAGCTGCTCTGACTTCTGCTCCTGCTCTCTGAGAGTTTCCTTCCTCCCCCTGGCCTTGAAGCTTCCACCAGGAACACTGGGAGCCTCTTCCGTTCCACCCCACTCTATCCCTGAACTCTCTGGCTGCTTTTCCAGGCTTGCCTCACACATACATTTAAGCCCCTCAAGGCTGAACTACATCCCCAGTCATTTTTTTTTTCTTTTAGGCAGGGTCTTCCTTACTCAAGCTGGCCTTGAGCTCATGATCTTCCTGTCTTACCTCCCAGCCCCACATCAGTAGCTGGAATTACAGACCTATGCCACAAACCTTTGGTTAAAACTGCTTTACATAGGTTTAGCGGACAGTACCCTTCCCTCCGCTCCATCCCCATTTGTGGTGGATCCCATTGAAATGGGAGCGGAGACCCAGATTCTGATCATCGCTAGCCTCTGATTTCCACAGTGCTGACAAGTGTTGTTGTTGTTTTTACTCGTTGGCTCTTTGGGGGTCCACCACTTAGCTCCCAAATAAATCACATGCATGGAGTATTATTCTTTTTTATAAATGCCTGGCCTTAGCTTGTCCTGTTTCTAGACTCCTTTCCTTAACTTAAATTATCCCATCTATCTTTTGCCTCTGGGCTTTTTCTTTCTCTTACTTCTGTGTTCTTTACTTTCACTCTTACCCCATGGCTGTGTGACTGTGTGGCTGTGTGGCTGTGTGGCTGTGTGGCTGTGTGGCTGTGTGGCTGTGTGGCTGTGTGGCTGTGTGGCTGTGTGGCTAGGTGCCTGGGTGCCTGGGTGCCTGGGTGCCTGGCCCTCCTCTCCATGTTCTCTTACTCCTCAGTCTTCTCTTTCTTCTTGTATTTATTCTCACCACCTTCCAGCCCTGCCTATTTTTTCTCCTGTCTAGCTATTGGGCAGTCAGCTCTTTATTAGGCCAATCAGGTGTTGGAGACAGGCAAAGTAACACAGCTTCACAGAGTTAAACAAATGCAACATAAAAGAATGCAGCACATCTTTGCATCATTAAACAAATGTTGCACAGCATAAACAAATGTAGCACATCTTAAAATAATATTCCACAGCAGATAAGGGCATCCACCATTCTTTTTACTCTCTTGTTTCAGTGGTCCTAAGGTGAGGTAGGTGGCAGGTGGTGTCATCTCCAAGGCAGAACTCCAGGGTTGCATGACCTGTAGTTGGTCCAGTGACCCCTCTTGTGAGACTAGCCCTGGACTACAGGCTCCTGTAGTTTGTTAGAATCTTTGCCTTACAAGTAACTTTAACCCCAGTGAGTGAGATCTGTCTCAGGCTGGACCCAGGGTGAGGTGGGATCTTAGGACAGAACCCCCTCCCAGTTTCCAAGGCTCCTACCTCAGGATTGCACTGCCCAGAGCCCGTTCCTTCTCTTGCCTGCTCAGACTGTGTCCCCACTTCCGGGTCAGCCCTGACCCAGTTATAGTTCTCCTCCTTTTTCCAGCCTTCTGCCCCAGGGTGGTTCCAGGGACCTCTTCTTCCACTCCTGTCGGCTCTTTCCCCTTTTCTGTTAACAGTGAATAAGATGATAGAAAATGCCAAGTGCCAGGTTCTGTGCCTGGCTCAGGTGACATCAGTTGGTGTCCTGTATCATCATTATTGACAGACCCAGGGTTGAATCCCAGCTCCCCTCTCCTTCGCTGTGGCCCTTGAGTGAGATGCACCTCTTTCGTGAACATCAGATTCCCATCCATGGTCAGTGGTTATTGAATTTCCCTGCATTGCTGCTGGGCTGTGCAAAATAAAACCTAGCAGCCCGTGTAAGGGGTCCAGTACTTAGAGGCCACAGAGAATGCCTGGCCCTGTCGTCCCTGCAACAGGCAATGCTCTGGCTACCATCCAGAAAGCATCTCATTCACAGGTCCCCACGTACAGAACTCCATGAGTTCCCAGGGAGATAATGTGTGCAAAGTGGTTTGTAGATACTCAAGTACTCTGCAATGTTTATGATGATTATTGCTAATTAAAATTTAGGACAGCCTGGAGAGAGGCAGGGAGTGAGCTACAGATCTGCCTGCCTCCTTCTGAGGGTCTTTTAGAGGCCTGAATGAGAAAGTTGCATGTGTGAAGAGAGCCTGTGAATGACTCCGGGGTCCTTGTTCTGAAGCCTCACCCAACCCTGGAATATGTGATAAGTGGTCACTCTGGGTACTTTCTTATTCCCTGCTTATCCTCAATGGCATTGCCTGCCAAGTGAGAGGTGCTGAGCTAACAATGGGCAGCTGACCGCCCAGCAGGGTGGAATGGGAGTATTACTAACCCACGGAGCATCTCTGCAGATCTTTGCAAAGGGACCATAGAGTTAATCACTGGCAATTTTTCTGAGCATCAACTTTTGGGACAGAAAAAATGAGAGGGTTCTTGTTGCCCATATTGGTATTGGTCCCTAACAGTCTGGGCATGCTCTTTGGCTCCTGCTGATACTCTGGGCTCTGAGAGCCTTGTTCCCAACAACCTGTCTCTCTTGCAGCCATGAGGTGGACTAGCTGCTCCGTCATCTTCCATGTTTGCCTGTCCTCTGAGCTCCCATCCCTCCTCTGGCCAAAAGCCAGTCAGCTGGGGAGGAGACTCACTTGGTTGCCACTGCTTCCGGATGCTCGGTTTTCATTGGGAGACCTTTCAATAGGGCCAGAAAGATAATGTCTTTCAGATTATATGAGAGCTGAGCACCCCTCCCCCTCCTTTTTTCCTCAGCTCTGGTTCCCTTTTCCTTTCCTTCCAGATCCCGCTGTGTTGGCTTTTCCTGGGAAATGGAGGATGTGCCTGTCCCAGTGAGAATCCGTGGGAGGTGCTGTTGGAGAAGCCCCAAGCCTTAAGCCTTAAGCCTGGGGGTCTGTTCCCCACCCAGGCAGGGCTGTAGTCTAGCCCAGTGATTCTCATCCCTGGTTGCACAGGAGGAAGGTGGGAACTTGATCAGATAGCATATCTGAGTCCCTCAGGACACTCTGCCCGCCTGACCTGCAAAGACACGGTTGATACTTTCAGAAACCCTCAATTGGGAGGTGTCAGTGTGCTGCCAGGCATAGGGACCCAACATGGTGACTGCAGAGGATGCTGTGAAGGAGGATAAACTGAACCACAGAAGTCTAGCAGTTCCCTTAGGGTACCCTCCAGATGCACAGGCAATAAGCATCCATTTTCATCAGCCAGCTGGGGTGTGCTCTGCCCTCCTACCCATCTTGATCCCTCAGCAAACACCCTAAGGCAAACATTGCAAGTCAACCTTGGATCCAGCATAGCCTGAGCTCCGTGACTCTTTGGCACCTGCCCCGGCACCGAGTGTGGTCCTAGGTCCTGGGTTCTGAGTTAGTCAGGAACGTGGCTCGGGAGCAGAACTACCCCAATCTATACATGGGCTTCTGCCAGGCTGCAATGATTTATGGGAGCTGGTGGAGGCCTGGTGACTCCCAGTGACCTGTGCAAAGCAGGGCTTGTGGTGAGCGCAGTTGAAAGGCTGGGATGCTGGATAATTAAATACTTTGCTGAGGCTGGGTGGACGCTTTCCAGACTTGAGAATGAAATGCGGTGGCTCTCCGGGGAGACTGGGTTGAGGCTGCCTGTGCTCTGGCCTCGGCAGCTCACGGCTGTTCTTCTTTCCGGGTGGATCACTAACGGTTTTTGGTGGTGGTGGTAGTTTTTTCTTCCTTCCTTCCTTCCTTCCTTCCTTCCTTCCTTCCTTCCTTCCTTCCTTCCTTCCTTCCTTCTTTCTTCCTTTTTTCCTCATTTAGGCTTTTCTGCATGGTTCACAGATATATCTGATTTTAAATGGGAGATTGTCTAGTGTTTGCAACCCTGGCTGGCTGAGCAGGGCTGTGCAAGAAGGCTGCCTGTCAGCAACTTGCAGGAAATCTCAATCCAGTTCTCCTTCCCTTAAGATGCCTGGGGTGCAGAGGAGCTCGTGGAGACACCTGCCTTGCAGAGAAAAGGAAGATCTGATTCCAGTACTGATCTATCTGTTATCCCCCAGCTAGACGACTCTGAGGAAGTTACTTAGTGTCTCTAAGCTTGGCTTCTTCATCTAGAACTGAGGGATGACTGTAGTAGGTATCACAGAATTAGAGAACTTTATGGAATCACGCATGGCCACCAGCAGCAGAGCCTTGTGGGTATATGTATCCTGGAAGTGCCCTTCTTAGACTGAACTTTTTCTTGTAGAGCTAATTCCAGTCCTGGTCTTGTATCCTCCGGCCTGTGGGACAGAGGCTTTGGGGCCCTGGTGCACATTCTAGCCAGTCTTCCACTGGCCAGTGCAGCTCTCCTAGGGCCTCAGGCACCTGCCTGCCCAGGAAGCGGAACATCTCAATGGTTTTCTCTGGTCTTGCCAGATGGTTCTTAGCGTCATGATTTTCTCTCTCTCTCTCTCTCTCTCTCTCTCTCTCTCTCTCTCTCTCTCTCTCTCTCTTTTTCTTTCTTGAGACAGGGTTTCTCTGTAGCTTTGGAGCCTGTCCTGGAACTAGCTCTTGTAGACCAGGCTGGCCTCGAACTCACAGAGATCCACCTGCCTCTGCCTCCAGAGTGCTGGGATTAAAGGTGTGAGGCACCACCGCCCAGCCGTCATGATTTTTTGTAACAGGAGTGACTTCCATCCTAACCAGAACACTGGCTTCTCTGCCTTCTGCCTCACACTTGGTTCCTCCTCTTGCACCTGCCTGCATGCACATTCTGACTTAGGCCTCTGGCCTGTAGGAACCTAAGCTGTGACTATTGTGAAAGAAGGAGTTGCCTTTGCCCAGAAGATGCCCTTGTTCCCCTTGGTGTCTCACAGAAGCCTGTCCAGCACATGGACTGAGGGAGGAGGCCAGAGATTGGTCCAGCTTTTTCTCTTAGCTCTGCTTTGTTCTCCTCAGTGGGTGGAGCTTAGGTGCAAGGCTGTGTCAAGCAGGATAGCTCCACCCCTCTCAAAGATAATTGGTCGACAGTCAGGAGACTGACTGATACCAAGCCAATCAGAACTCTAGCAGGATCTGCCTGTCTCAACTACCTAGAACTCCAAACTAATTGGAGCTGGGTAGGGTGTTGTGTCTGAGAGAAAAAGCCACAGGCCAGAGAAAGAGGGTGCAGTGGTGGTCTCCCGTGGGACAGGACCCAGTCACAGTCTGAAAGCCTAACTCTACTCAAGGTAGTCCATCCTCCCCTGGGGTTACCTAGCAGCCTTTCTGGAAAAGCCAGTTTGTTTCTAGGCAACTTCATTCACAGGCGGCCACATTGTAGGGACATAAATATAACTGGTGTATCTCAGGAAAATATATGGCTCCAGATCTGGAACATTCCCAGAAAAAGATGAGTAGGTGTGACCTAGGAGGAGCGCTCGAGAAGAAGGGGAAAGAAGGTGAATGGAGATTCAGGCCTCTTCTCGGGGCTTTTCCGGCACCTCCCTGACACTCCTGACCACCTAGCTGCACTCTGCTTCTTAGAGGCTCACTGTCTTCAGTGTGCTGGCATCGCCTAGAGCACTTGTCTGAACGTCACAAGGTGGCTGCTGCAGCTTCAGACTTCACGTGTCTGAATAGGAAAGGGAAGTGCAGGCCTCTCCTAGTTCCTAATGTTGCATTGTTTCTCATTGGCCAGAATGGCCAGAAACTGCTCTGAAGCCGTTTCTCCCAACACGAGTATTTTCCTTTTCAGCATCTCAGATAAGAGGCAACTGGGAAAGGAGGCTGGAAATAGCTGTGAGTTAGCACACAGACTGTGTCTTTTCCTGGTGGTGTAAGAACTCTCAGCATCATAAAAGAGCAAGGGCCTCTGAGTGGCAGAAACTGAATAAGACTAGACTTCAAGGTGTGGGGCTGGGGCAGAGTGGGGAAAGAACTTGACATAGTGACAGCCCCAGCTTAGTGCTGGGAAGGACTGCAGCTGACCTCACCTTCTGGAACCTCCAGGCTGGCTATTGGCTGGAGGAGGTCAGGGTAGCCAGACTGGGAGCCAGTGAGAGGTGCTCATTTACTCAGGTTTGTTGATACTGCAGCCGGTTATAGAGCACAAAGTGATGGGGTAGGTGACAGACACTATCTCAGGAGAACTCTGGGATGTGTCCTCGAAGGGCTGGGAATGGTGAAGTGGCACAAGTTTCTGGCTCTCAGTATCTTGGGTGAGGCTTGTATTTGCAAACAGGCAGATCTCAGGCGGCATCACTCACTCAGGTGCATAAAACAAGCTCAACTTTCCCACACCTAAAGTAGATCAAGAATGGATTCCTTTAGGGCTGCAGAGTAGGATGCCAGGCTGTTGAACAAGCAAAAGTAAGTGTAAGCGCCATTGCTCACGTTCCTTTAAGTAGGTGTGCTGAAATTGGAACAGAAGAAGCCGCAGTTAACAGTTAACGATTACAGCTATCGAAAGCTTCCAAAAAATAAATTCAAGTGATGTTTACTTTGTCCAGGAAAAAAAAAAGAGAAAAGTGGGTAAGAAGAAAACTGAAATTCATAAAAACAAAATTGCTATTAGCTTTCTCGCCTGTGTCATTTTTATCCCCCTGTGTACTTTTCCTTGTAATATTTATGGCCATGATCAATACCGAGTTTTATGAGCTGCCTTGTTGGATCTGGATCTCACTGCCATTCTCCCTGTGGTCAGTGTGGTCTTCAGATGCGTCACCTTTCACGGCTGCATAACAAAAAGCTGCTTTGACCCCTGTGACCCATCATTGGGCCGCGCTTCCATCCTATAATAATGCCATGCTGATTGTTATTATTTATGGATCTGCCTTTGTAGAAAGGAGCCTATATCTGGGAGGTAGTTCTAAGACACAGCCATGCCTCATGCCTATGGCTGGTTCAAAATGTCAACCTGGGACAGGAGTGAACCTAAAAACCCAGGGCTGGAGGGAGCCTGCTTTGTGTGTTTCCTCTTGGCAGCTGGGGTTTGCTCATAGTGTCTATGGGCGATTTATTGCCTCGTTTCTAGAGGGAATCGATCTGCCCCAACCCCAGTGTATGTAATGAGATTCAGAGCCCCGCCTCTGACAGACCCGTGAATTAAAGCCAGCCCAGCTTGGAGACCAGGAGAGGGGAGGCGACCCCATGAATCTTACTATTGATGCACAGATTAGGGCACATGGAGGAAAGAACGCTCTGTCTTTATCTTCTCTGTGTCTCACTATTCAGAAAGCTCCCAGAAGCTGGGGAGCAGCTCACCTAGTTCACAGTGTGAGCTCTTTCCCACTGCACGCCAGGGTGTTGACCCCCACCCCCGTGACCCCAAGAAAAGTCACTGCAGGTTTGCACTGATTCCAGTTCAGTTACTCACAGAGTCCTCGAGAGTCAGCTTCTTCCAACAGCCTTGTGGGTAGGGATTATTCCCCTCCATGTGCAGAAGGGGAAACTGAGGGAGCCTGCCTAAGGTCCTAGGGGCAATAAACCCGGAGTCCCTTATCTTCAATTGTTTATAAGGTCAGCAACTCGTGGAAGAGGTGGCCTTGTGTGGGTGAGGGGCAATGGCAGAAGACTCCCCGGGAGCACACCTTTCTTATTCAAACCAAAGTGAATCTCCACCCTCCTTCCTAGGGAACCCACACCCTTGTAGCCTGGAGACCCCCCCACACCATTCAAACCATCAGTCTCAGGCTATCCCAAGCTTCTCATCTAAATTGGAAGATTGGAAACCCTAATAAAGGCTTTCTGCTGCTGTGCCTGCCTCCTGCCTGACCCTAGTGCTCCCCATGTGCTCCCCTCCTCCTCTGGGAAGCCATGAGTAATAGCCTGCCTTCTCAGGCTGCTGTCTCTCTGACTGTGATGTTTGCTTGGCTGATTAAAACTCATGCTTTACCGTCATGCCTCTGATATAAGGGCACACGTATTTTTGTTTTTTTCTTTTGTTC